AAACGGGATGATAAGAAGCGAATGTTTGAGCCCCTTATCCATATATAGAAAAAAAAAGATATATCTTTTGGGAAAAATGTCACTGTTGAAGCCGTTTCAACTCCACTTTGGGTATTTCAAGTAAACATATATACGATGCCAATAAATAATAAAAAATGGATAAATAGACAATTGAGGATTAAGCCCTTCTGTAGTAACTTACGGTAATTCATTAAAACTGGCTCCAAAGGGCCCATTAATGAAGGCGTATATAGACTTTGGCGGTTACCAATATCTTGCAAGCTAATACACACTCGATCCTATTCAATTATAGATACGCTTTGAAGGATGCCAATTCATCGCAAGCTGATACAAACTCAAGCGATGCAAAACAGAACCTCTTCACTTGTGTAGAGTCATCCAATCCACTGGTCGACTAAGCATGTAATAAGAGAAACTCACAACTCAGACTACCTTTTGGGGTTCCTTGGACTGGCTCAAATCGCGTTGCAACATCGAGGCAGACCGAGCTCGCATCATTTGTTCCTGCTTCTCCATCTCTTCTGGCATGCAGGAGGCCAGACAGACTGTGTAATTACTGAACAGGTTTTCATTGCCATTGCAACCAAGATAAACAAGTTCTCGACAGCGATGAGTCCGAGGGCAGTAATACCTAAAGAGTGCATAAAACGAAAATTAAACATTTTAATGGTAAGTCCAAGACCCATTTTTCATTAATATGTAGACTTTCTGGACTACCAGTAGATAAGATATATGAGATTCGTTTACTAAATTTCATTTAAAGTGATGAAGAACTGGTAGTTTAATTTTCACACAAAGGAGTGAAGTATCATTTTGACCTCGCCTAGGTCTCATTAAAATCCCCAGTGGGACTCGAACCATGATAACGCATCGTATAATCTCTAAATCTACGTATAAACGAAAAATAAATAATGTAGTCAATTTATACAGCAAATATAAGTTTACTTCATCGAAAATTCCACCGCAAAATGTAATATGGGTAAATTCTTAGCTTTTATTGAAATTCAAATCTGTCTTGTGACCCAAGGGCTTACGTGGCAATGTGAGTAGTGGTTGAGTAGTAGATGGCACCAACCTTACAAACTGACAAAAACATACTAAATCTAATAAGAACTGTCTTTATCCAATTTCGTTTATAGTGGTTAATGACTGGTAGCTGAAATTTCCCACAATTGTATACTTTCTATGAATTTCAGATAGCCTTATTTCCCAAAAGGTATTCTCATTCAAGAGGGAGTGGACTGCAGATTCGACCTTGCCTAGATC